GAGAGAGAGAGAGAGAGAGAGAGAGAGAGAGAGAGAGAGAGAGAGAGAGAGAGAGAGAGAGAGAGAGAGAGAGAGGATGCGAATCGTGGTCTTCAAGAGCAGTTGCCCAGGGAGTGGGAATCTGGGGAGCGGGAAACTGGGGAGCGGCTTTGTTTTGTTTGCTTAGAGAATTCTTGCGTAAAGTCTCTGAGGATCCCAAACAGCGCGGTCGCTGGCTAGGGCACATTACCGGTCTTACCTTTTTTGGTTTCGTGCTGATAAGCCTTGGTTGCGTATTCAAATAAGGGAGAACGCCTTGCCATCATGAAAACACCTCCTGTTACCATAGGAGCTTCATAAGCAGAGCTGATACTCGGGTAGGGCCCTCCATAGCGTCCGGTAACCAAAACTATGGTGTCCTATTTCTGCGGATTTTCTGACAGCTCCAATAAAGAGCCTGATGAGAACACAAATAGCGGTTATATCGGATTCGCTTTTGGTATCTCCAATTATTCTGAGTGTATTTCATCTCATGAACCATTACTTCTTTTTTGGTGCAGGTTCTGTTCGTTCATGCAATGTCTGATGAACAAGATTTGCGCAAAAAAAAAAAAAAAAAAAAAAGATTTGCGCAAAATGGGAGGATAGGATTATGTTTTCTGCACCGCATATGATCTACCTTCTTCCCCCGAATACAACGTACGGTTATTATAGCTGTGTATCTAGACTGAAAGATGTCGCAAATGCAGATATAATGACCGTACGTTGTATTCGGGGGAAGAAGGTAGTTTTCCTTCCCTCCCTCTCTCCTTCCATGTGGGTGATGATGAGCACGGTAATCGCTGTGGTGCAGGAGGGGCCGGGTATTCGAGACACGTGGGATAGGAAAAGGAGAAGGGAGTGGAAGAGAGAGGGGAGAACGGTTGAGATCGGTGGCCATCTAGGGGTAAACTACAGGCCGAGAAGAAAGCTGGTGTGGTTAGATTGGAATGCTGCACCGCTTATTTATACCCACACACAGGCATGGAGTCTTTTTCTCCTACCGGTAGTCATCCTCTGGACCTGCAAAATGTGGAGACTGATCATGCGCGCGGGTGATGAGCGGGGAAATTCGGGGTCACCAGATGAGGGAGGTGAGGGCGAGGGGGAGGGAGAAGGGCACAAGAGGCGAAAATGGGAGGGCGAAAATCGAGAGGGATGGTCAGCAAGATCGAGGAGAAGGGTTGTCAATTCGCTAAAAGGAGGGCATGGTAGGAGGAGGGGGAGGAGGAAAATAGGTAGTGGAAGGAGGAGGAGAAGAGGAGGGTGTGGACGAGGAGGAAAGGAGTGGGTGGAGGAGGAGGAGATGAGGGTGTGGAGGAGGAGGAGAGGAGGGTGTGGAGGAGGAGGAGAGGAGGGTGTGGAGGAGGAAGGGAGAAGGGGAAGGAGGAGGAGGATGAGAGGAGGGGGG